AAATAACTCAAGCGAATCAGCAAGAGAAAAACAAACAGCCCCAATAACAAGTGGGCAAAAGACATGAACAGAAGCTGTTCAAAAGATGATAGACAGATGGCCAATCAACATGTGGAGGAATGCTCAGTTCACTAATCATCAGGGAAATGCAGATTAAAACCACGGTGAGACATCACGTTCTCCCTGTTAGCATGGCTGGCATTAAAAAGTCCCAAAACAATAGGCCAGTGGTCTTAACCAGTGTGCTATGGCACACTAGCATGATGTGAGAGGATCTTAGGTATGCTGTGAAATTTTTCAAGATAATTGATTAAATTATTTTCAAACAAAGTTTAAAGAACAGTGATTACATTCTTTTTTTCTTCTCTTTCTATTGATCAACGTAAGTTAAGTGTGCTGTGGGAGTTGAGAACCACTGTGTGTACTGTGAGATAAAATAGGTTCAAGTGTGCTGTGAGATTAAAAAAAAAAAAGGTTGAAAAACATAGTAATAGATGCTGGTGTGGATGCAGGGAGAGAGAGATACTTATACCTGTTGGTGGGACTGCAAATTAGTACAACCTTTATGGAAAACACTTCAGAGATTCTTCAAAGAACTAAATGTAGACCTACCACTCCATCCAACAATCCTGCTCCTGGGCATCTACCCAAAGGAAAGAAGTCATTTTATCAAAAAGACACTTGCACTTGAATGTTTATTGCAGCACAATTCACAATTACAAAGATGAGGAATCAACCCAAGTGCTCATCAGTTCATAAGTGGATTAACAAAATGTGATATATGTATATCATGAAGTTTTACCCCACCACAAAAAGGACAAACTAATGAATGCCTTTTGCAACAATTTGGATGGAACTGGAGACCATTATCCAAAGTGAAGCATCTAAGAATGGAAAAACAAACACCACATGTCCCCGCTATTAAATTGGAACTGACTGTGAGCATACATGTGCTCACAGAGGGATGTAAAGCTCAGTGGAAATCCAACAGGGAAGAGGGGTAGGAGGAGAGGAGTGAAAAGCTACCGAGTAGGTACAATGAGCACTGTTTGGGTGAAGGGCACATTTATAGCTGTGACTCAAGCATTACAAAAGCAATCTATGTTTTGTACCAAAAACACTTATACCCCTAAATATTTTGAAATAAAAGAAAATATTAGTACTGTGTCCATACAATGAAATACATACATATTAGTCAGCAACAAAAGGGGGTGTAGGGGTGAGACATACTGCAACGTGGACGAACCTCCAAACAGGATGCTAAGTAAAAGAAGCCAGTAACAAAAGGCCGCACACTGTTACGACTTCATTTATGTGAAATGTCCAGAATAGGCAAAGCTACAGAGACGGAAAGTGAACTGAGGGTTGCCAGCACTGAAGAGGCAGCAGGGAAGGGGAGAGTGACTGCTGATAGGCGAGGGGCTTTCTTTACGGGGGACGGGAGCCTTCTGGAGTTGGATTGTGATTGTGCAATCTGTGAATGTGCTCAGACCAATGCGTTGTACACTTTGAATGGTGAGTTTTGTACTAAGTGAATTCTATCTCATTACCACTGTTAAAAGTTCCCTTTTAATATTTTAGAAAAAAAATTCCTCTACCTATGCCATATTTCCCAGAGGGTTCCAGAAAAAGAATAGCTGGTTTATATTCAAGAAGAAATTGTTTTCACTTTCCTTTCATATTCAAACACTCTTAGTGCAACCAGAGAAAAAACAGGAACCCATACAGGGTTTATCAACTATGTTTAATGCATTCCAATCAAATAAAGTTGTAAAGTATCAGAGGACCTTAAAATGAAATTTGACAGTGATCAGATCCCTGGGGATATTTGGCTGGAAGGGTTCATAGATTCTAAATCTAACTGTATGCGTGTCTGTGTGTACAAATGCAGGTTCATTGTTCAGGCTTCTGCTTGGCTCTCTGCTCTTGCCCCATAAGAAAACACTTTGTTCTTTCTCTTAGATTCCTCTATTTGATATGGAAATCATTTTAGACTGGCCTGTCTGACTTTAATCCCTGTCCCCAGAGCCACAAGAAGGGGCGGGAAGAGAAGGGAGAAGTGGCTGTGACTGCAGAGATCACTGAAGGAGAGGTGGAGAGCAGAGGCAGTTTTTTTTTTTTTTTTTTTTTAGAGACAGAGTCTCTCACTTTATTGCCCTCAGTAGAGTGCTCTGGCGTCACAGTTCATAGCAACCTCCAACCAGTGAAATGCAAATTAAAACCACGGTGAGACGTCACGTTCTCCCTGTTAACATGGCTCGCATTAAAAAGTCCCAAAACAATAGGCCAGTGGTTTTAACCAGTGTGCTATGGCACACTAGCATGATGTGAGAGGATCTTAGGTGTGCTGTGAAAT